TCAGGTGGACAGCAACATGGTCAAAAGGAAGAGGAAACATCCCACAAACACCCAAAGCACATAAAGCTGTTCAAATTTGACAGCAACTGAGACGTAATTCTCTGTAAAATCTGATCTTTTGTTCCAATTTGATGCCTCTCTCCATCAAGATTTGACAAATCCTACATAAGAGGTCACGCCAGTTGAACCCTGATCAAACTTTGATAAAAAAGAAAGATACATGTTATTTTCATTTTTTTTAAAAGCTCCGGCTTTATTTGTCTGAAACCTGTCTCCATGATCCATTGTCAGTTGCTTTTTCTCCTTGGTAAATTTCTTCACTATCACTTACCCTCATTTTAAAATTTCATCACGCCACACAAAACACAAATGTTCCCTTGATAGTACATCCATTTGTGTGTCCATGCCATGACGCTCAGAAATGTCAGGGTTAAAATATCCACATAACAAAGCAACCATTATTTTCCATTCAGAACTGCTCATTCACATTCGTTTAGGAAGGGTCTGTCAGTTCTCCTTAAAGAGACATGCTAAATGAGAACAAAACATCAGATTTAAATGAGATTGATACACAATTATGAGTTTCATTCTGCCCAAGGTTACAATTGAGTACATTCCAAGTGATTAAGATAAAACATGTCACATTTCAATCACAAACAAAAAATTTGGTTTAGAAAAATGTCATTGCAATTTGTCTATCTGATGAAAAACCATCATCAAACAAAATTTCTATAATAACAAGCCCTATACATGTATATTGTCTTTCCTGGGGTCCATTCCATAAACTGATCGTTGCACTAAGGTGATCACACTTTAACAAACTGTCTTAGCACAAAGATTGCTTTGTGGAACAGAAAGCGATCTTAGCACTAAGGTGATCGTAAGTCCTATACTTTAACATAGGCTTACGATCATCGTAGTGCTAAGATCGCTTTGAGGAACAGGGCCCAGGGCCCTGCCTATCAAATGATCTTTGATCATACACATAAATGGCTCCTTGTCTTAACCATCATATAAACTTTCTGGTTTATCAGCTAGACTTCCCAGGTTCACACGTCTTATATCACATTCATCATTGAGGAAAGCCCTTTCAATGTCAAAACATACACATCTTCTACATTGTTGAACCATCATCTCTTCATCAAAACAGTAAAAGTTCCCAGGAAACTTAAAAGGAAACCAACAAAAGGTAAACACCGCCCAAAAACTGAAATCAGAGAAGTCCCGAATATGTTGGGATCAAATTTTCTTGATTATCTGAGAACAAAACAAAACATTTCCTATTCCAGTGGATTAGGTTGTATGGTGAAGTGTTTTCACGTTATATATGATGGTAAACAAATATGGTGAGTCTTATGATAAATGATAAGGTGAGTTTTATGGTACAGGTTTCACCCATTACATTTGACATGGGTTTCCTTTTACATATGTACAAATAAAACAGCCAAACCCCTGTTATAACAAGGGCGAAGGTCGAGATAATACTAAAAGATGAGGCAAAGAAAGTCTACGGGAATAACGTGTTACAACTACAGTGGAATCAGTTCAATTCGGACTCGGTTGGGATCAGTAAAACAAACAGTTTACAACGCAGTCCAGATTACACAGAGTGCAAAAAGTTTGACTGAAGACAAAACGAAAAGCAAATATCAGACAGATGATTAAGACAGCTGAATTTCAAAAGTTAATTGGTTGTCGGAACTGTAATTTTAGTCTGAAGTGCGAAGTGTAAAAAGAGATTTAAATCTCTGAAATAGAGATTTGTAGGTCTGTTATTAATAACAAGTTATTAAAGAACTGTGGGGACAGGAGAAAAGGTTAAGTTTTTACCAAAATCCGAATTTGACAGAGTCCAATTTGGACAGATTCCACTATACATACTGACAGACCAACATCCCACCACCAGTATCTAAAGCATCCTCTTGTATCCTACTCAAAAAAGGTTAAGGAGCACCAGATTCTTTCACAGTGGCATGACAGATTAACTATAGTTATATGAAAGAATTGGGTGGCCTTAACTTCTATTGAGTAGAATATTACCTGGTTTACAGATCGTTTATACAAAGCCAAGGGTGAGTGGTCATATATAAATCACAATACAATTGGTCGGTATCAGGAAATTAAGAAAACAAGAAATTTTCAATATTCAAAGCAACATATATCTTTCATTTCATTTCAAAAGTTTGTATATATTTATCTACTGTAAATTTAGCTAAATAAAAAACTACAGTTATCTTGTGATCAGTCTCAGTTGAAGAATGGTTACTAAAATGTTACTTCACATTTGAGAAACTTTGTGTTGGTAGGTCAATAAACCAATTGAAAAAATAAAATGGCTTTCATATCTTATGTAAGTATTGAGCTCTATAAACCCTCACCAGGGCCCACTTGCACAAAGCGATCTTAGCGCTAAGATGATCGTAACTCCCATACTTTAGCATAGGCTTACAATAGTCTTAGCGCTAAGATCACTTTGAGCAAGTGGGCCCTGGTGTTTTCGCTCTGACTAGATACATCATCACAAGTCTAGGGATACTGTTCATTTACCTCAAACTCTTCAAATCATTCTTTTACGAATGACAATACATTATTTTGATCATGTTTTTTCCCCCAATATCTAAAATGTTTACCTAATGAAAAATTATTTCATTTTAATTTCAACTGTAAAGCTAAATTTATATTATATCAAGGTTTTTATCTTTTAAAGAATGTCAGTCAAAACATTCCTGCAATTTGTAAATGTTACTAATGCACAATGATACTCATTCATCACAGATAATTATACTAAACAAATAAAGTTAGGGATCATGAAATATCTGTATATACCGTACACAATTTAAGAAACTAAGTCTTCACTACAATAAATATCCCCAAATATATTCATGATCCCTAACTATTTTTGTTCAGTATATATACAATAACATTTTGCCCAGCAATGTAACTAAAACAAGTCTTTGTCAGAAAAAACAGCTCATCAATTTCTATTTCAGCAATTGAAAACATAACATTCAATAAATGTTTGTGATTTAAGCATCTACTGTGATACAGAAGTCAAGATCTTACTCTAAAAATTAAATAAAACCTATTGGCACTGCTGAAAACTTGTTGAATATTTTTATTTACATCACTAACAATGTGTAGGTAGGATGGAGTCAGGGTGAAGAGAGATGGTGTTAAAGCCAACAGTATTTCAGTAACACCATGGTGTCAATGTCATAACAATCAGATGTTTCACTCCGATACAATACCTGTCTGCGATAACATCTGAAGACACCTTCACAAGAGGTTGTATCTGACGAAGTTTGAGGAAACTTTTACCAACCAATCAGTGAAGGATGTTTTGGTTCTTGAACAAATCAGATGTCAACTAAAATAATTTAGTTTCGTTTGTTTACTGCTTCGATATAAAGTTTTTCAAACCATTTTGGGCGTAGATGCCATGGGGCTCACAAATGGGGTTTTGGGGTTTTGTTTTTTTTTGTTATTTAACACCACACTCAGCAATATTCCAGCTATATGACTGCTGTCTGTAAATAATCGAGTCTGGACCAGACAATCTAGTGATTGACATTATGAGCATTGATCCACGGATTTGGGATGATGACATGCATCAACCAAGTCAGCGAACCTGACCACCCGATCACATAAGTCACCTCTTACGACAAGCAGTCGCCTTTTACGGCAAGCATGGGTTGCTGAAGGCCTATTCTAACCCGGATCTTCACAGGTCCACGGAGTAGGGAAACGATGACATGCATCAACCAAATCAGCCAGCCTGACCACCCAATCGTGTTAGTCACCTCTTACAACAAGCATAGTCGCCTTTTACGGCTAGCATGGGTTGCTGCAGACCTATTCTACACCGGATCTTCTCGGGTCAAATGATTTGTGAGCGCCATGGCATCTACACCCAAGAAATGACATGACAAACAAAATATCCACAACATAATGCTGCATTATTTTTTCACATTCGGATTGCCTTGATTATATTTTGTTTGAGACACAGAAATCAGATATGGCAATCTGAATGCTCTCTCACGAACCGAGAATATAAGAACCCTCAACTCTGATCTGACCTCTAGAGGTTTCCCAGATCTTGACGCAGAGAGGTACCATATCAGTGTAAAAGATCTGATGTTAATGCAATCAGAGTGTCAATTTAATGTGAGACAAGACCAAAGTAGCACAGGTTGTAGACATTAACCACTTTGGTGAAACCCACGGATTAAGTGCTGACAGACCAAAGATCATAATCAGTGAAAAAGTAGTATTCAAACCCATGACCAGCTGATCCTGGCAAAGCTAAGGCAGACAACTCAGCACAGTGGTGGGTCCATATGACTGGACCACCTGTATCTCTGTGGAAGTCAGCAATATCTGGCTGATAGATGAATGTTCCCTCTAACCCTTCTATCAGAACTCCAATACACATAGCTGTCCGACAATATGGTGTATATTCATGTGCAGAGCCATTAATGTCTCCTGAACACTACTGAAACCCTTAGTAATAATTCAATAAGATCATTGTGATTCATATCAGTGGTCCATTACCAGGTAAACAAGTTACTCAACCAATCTTTGCTTAATAATATCAGGTTGCAGTTTCCCAAGGCAAGGGAGTTAACTGACTATAAACGTCCAGTTTCCACCCTAACTAGGCTGGAATTATGGAGTTATATTTCGGCTGGACAAACAAGTCTATGCATCGTCCAATCAAAATCGTGTAATGAAATCAACATCCGGTTGTAAACTGCCGTGCAGATTTGGGGTGATTGGAGCATTTGCAATGCATGTGTACCGTCAACTTAGCTTCAACAGACATTTTTCAAATCTTTTCATGTTTTTAATCAAGGTGCTCATGTGAGCTGATGCATTTCACGAAGTAAGACCTGTTTTATTACAATATAGGTCTTGATTATCGATCAGATTGTCTTCACTGGGATCAGTCATTTCATTTGAAGCAAATACAAGAGACACCAGAGGTGGAATCTGATTGATCAGTAGGAGGGGACACAGAAGGGACATAACTTGTAATAGCCACTGGTGGCGCTACGATCAAGCCCAGAAATTCCAGCCTAGTTCAGCCTGAGAGTCAGATAACACCCTTGCCTCAGGAAGATGATCAGGTTGTGGCAATAACATTTAAAATTTGTAAGAATGGTTACACTGTACAGATTGTTGATAAAATCAAACATTATTCTTAAGTTACTCATCATTTCATTAAAGTACTTAAATACAATCACAAAATTTGGCACGGCACCTCCCCAGTGTTGACTGTTCATCTTCAAAGGACAAGGCTTGATGAGCGCTTTGTCAATTTACCATACTGAATACAATACCGTGTAAACTTGTTTAACAAACGTATTTAATTTTCAAAGTAATTAATCACAATTACAATTTCCTTACTATCATTACTTTTTAAAAGAATTATCTGTCCTCATCATCATGGAGCTGCTACGTAAGGAATTGCTCCTATACACAAATATGGATGGTATACGCTTAACATTAGAATTTTCAATCTCATTTAAATCAGATCTTAATACTGGCTACCACTACACAAAGATCTGAGGTCATATCATCTCAGGGCATGTCATAATGACCTTCCGCGAAATTTAACTGACCATAGGAAATGAAAAAGTCAACATTAGCCAGAAAGCAGTTTTCTCAAGATTTACTGTGCTAGTTTCAATCTGGCGACTTTCATTCCAAATGCTTTGAAAAAATTATATTCAAAATTTGAAAACTGAACAAAAGATAATTCTGGAATTCTGGAAAGGAATGGTGAACTCAAGATATTCCAAACGACTGATTCTGTATATATCAGTCATTTGTAATGCCTCGTGTTAACCTTTTCGAGGTTGCATGATTTAGAAAACACATTCCAACTGTCACTTTCCTTATCTGGTAAGCAACACTCTGATTGGTCGAATGAAAGGTTGTTCTGATGTGACTCGTAATGAGATGTCCGTAATAGGATATTTGTTTATTGGTAGCAAGAACTTAAACCTGATTTAAAAGATTGTAGAATTTTAAGTCTTTCACTCATGGATATAGCACCATGCTGTCACAAGCGTTACGAAATGGTGGTCAAAACCATCACAGCTTGTCCTTCTTCTTCTCACACTTGAGGCAGACTCGGACTGGATAGTCCCAGCCTCGGGAGGGAACGGGGAGTTTGGCTGGGGAACAGTTCCCACACACACCCTGTCCACACGCCCGACAGTGGTGCTTGGCCACCTTGTAGCTGAACTCAGTGGAACACACATAGCACTGGGATATCTCTTCATCCGGGATCCAGTACGCAGGCCGAGCAGAGTCCTTCAGCATGCCTGGCAGTAAAAAGTGAAAGAGTGAGTGGTGCGGTGAGGTGAAATGGTGAGGTCTGTCTGTCTGTCTGTCTGTCTGTTTGTCTGTCTGTCTGTCTGTTTGTCTGTCTATATGTCTGCTTGTGCAAGTCCGGACTTGATGCCGATTTTATAGTGCTAGCCCACTGAGATACCATGCCACAGTTTAACTTGAATACCCTACGCAGACATAGTATACTGGTTCTGAGCCAAGCTGTCCTTGTTTTAGACCCTTAACACCGAGCGTCAAGCAGAATAACAACAAGTACCATCTTTTAACATCTTTTGGTATGATGTGGCTAGGGATCTAACCCCCAGCTTCCGATCTCCATGCAGATGCTCTACCACTAGGCCACTGAGGCGGTCTCACGCCGATGGATATGGAGTTATCTATTTATAGTTTACTGTAGGGATACTAACATTCTCCATTGGAAAGAAAACATGGAGCAGTCATATGGTCTGTATATAACATAGAGGGTCAGGAGTTAGTTAGAGACAAATGAAAATCTAGAGGTGCTTGCCGTTTTCGCTTTTGAAATGAGCTGTGGACGGGATATTGCCAATGGGGTCAATACCAAGATTTCAGACTGTTTGATCGATTGTTATCCAACTAAGGTTCTTCCAAAGTAAGTCATCATGAAGAGGAATAGTGCCAAGGCATTGTTGCTCACAATGTACAATCAAAGATTTGTAGCAATTGGATTTTCTTCTGTGAAGATGGTATGATTTCAATGCAATATTCTTTATCTTTGGCAGCAATGAGATAAAATTGTCCTATGAATAGTTGATTAAAACATGAAAATGCTCCAGATGGTCCTCATGCCGTTTAAATTTGAAATCTCAACATTATCAGGCTGATCGTTCAATTCTCCACTAAATATGGCCTCACCTATAGGGTAGTCAATGGCTGAGGCTACAGCTCCTAGGGTAGAAGTGACAACTTCGCCAACTTTGCGAGCAGTCACGGGCGCCTCCCCTTCCTTGGCTTCACCTGGAACAGACAGCCACATCATGATATATTTGTTTGTTGTTACCTTAATATTATTCCAGGTAAATGATGGCAGTCTGTGTATAATCAAGTCTAGGACAGATAATCCAGTGATTGACATCATGAGAATCATTCTACACAATTGGGATATGATGACATCCATCAAGCAAGTCAGCAAGCCTGACCACCCAATCATATAAGTCACCCCTTACGACAACTAAGGGTTGCTGAAGGCCAATTCTAACTGGACCTTCACAGGGGGAGACAAGCATGGTTTGCTGAAGACCAGGGCCCCGTTCCCCAAAGCTAACTTAGCGTTAAGGTGATCATAAGTCCCATACTTTAACATAGGCTTACAATCATCGTAGAACTAATATCGTTTTGAGGAACGGGGCCCAGTTCTGAATGAGATCTTCATGGGATGCCATATCATGTACAATGATCATTGGATCCCAACAAGTACCATCTCTTAACATCTTTTGGTATGACGCGGCCAGGGACGCTGTCATTGTTACTATGAAGACATGAAATGGTTATGGATAATAACTTCTTTATTTTTTGTAACGGTGTTTCAGGGCCACTTCTTGCCACTTCATCAGATGTCTTCATGTTCTTCCAGCAATTACTAACTGCCTATAAACACATCAAAGGCTTGGTTATTGTGACAGACTGAGTGCCAAATAACTAATCTTGATCCTGTAAACTATACATGCTGCAAGTTTTGTATCATTTCCCAGAGTTGCTGGGAGGGGATGATGGCAACAGCTCCCACCTGTACCGTTACCTTGGAGACAGTCTTTACAGACACGGACTGGTTCCAGACCCCAGCCCCGTTCTGGCACTGGCCGCTTGTAGCTGGAGCAGGTGTCACAGAAGCCCTGGCCACACCCACGACAGTGGTGCTTCTGGTCATTGTGGGTGAACTCTTCTCCGCACTTAGCGCATGCCTGGGATGGAATTGGTAAATTGAAGGCAAAGTAAATATGGATTAGCCATTATGATAGAACAAGCGTACTGCATCTAAGACAAAGAAAAATTAGCTGCAATTCCATCTAATTGTTTGGTGTATGACAATTACTAGTACTAGTACGCTATTTCATTGTACCTACAACCATCTTCCCGAAGCAAGTGAGTTAACTGACTGTGAAAGTACAGTTTCCATTTCCGAAACTAGGCTGGAATTCCAGAGTTACATATTGGCTGGACTAATGAGTTAATGCATTGTCCACACAAAATCGTATAATAAACCAGATATCTGGTTCGTAAACAAAGCATGTGTACCGTCAACTGGGTGTCAATAGCTATTCTGCAAATCTTTTCATGTATTTTTTTTATTTAAGGTGCTCAAGTGATTTTTATTACAATATAGATCTAGATTAGCGATCAAATTGTCTTGACTGGGAGCTACCATTTTGTTTGAAGCAAATGCAGGTGATATGAAAAGATGGATTCTGATTGGTCAATAGGATGGACATGGAAGGGACATAACGCGTCATAGCCACTGGTGGCGCTACGATCGAGCTCAGAAATTCCAGCCTAGTTTACTAAGGGTGGAAACTGGACTTTCATAGTCAGTTAATGCCCTTGCCTCAGGAAGATGGCCTACAACACATGAATGAAGATAATATACCAACACTGATGTTTACCACAAATTAAAATGGACAATATATAAAAGCATATGCCATACCACATCAAATGTTCTGATTTGTATTGCATCATTTTCAAGTTTGGTTTAACGCTGCTTTTAACATTATTCCAGTAATTGTTGAAACATTCAGTTCTCTATAAATGAGAAGAATATCAACTTCACTAATTACAAGAATAAATAATTAATCAAATTTTCAGAATTGTATCCAATCAGTTTCAAAATTAAGCATATTAAAATGCTTGTGGGTACCATCCAATCCAAGAAGTTGTTCATCCATAGAACTTGTCTTACTTCATCACACCAACTTCAAAATGCCACTGAAAGAAGTTGCTAGGGCTTATATAGAAAAGATACAACTTGACTGATTACCAGGATCTTGGAGTTAGGGATCCAGTATGCCGGGGCTATTTGGTCAGCTGTCCACTCAGCGAGATACTTGGTGGGCTTGGCGCTCACACTGCCGATGGTGTCCGCCATGTAGTTGAGACTGTCCAGTACTTTCCTAGCTGCATTGTGGGTACCATCCAATCCAAGGTTGCTCTATGTCACACAGAGGAAAAGAGAGGAATTGCAGGAGTGAGTGAGGAGGAAGAATGGTCTTAAATTGCTTTCAGCAATAGTCCTCACATATTGTGGTGGTGGACACAGAAAAGAGCTCCATGCATTGCAGCCTGGTATGATGAGCAAACACCTTAACCACTAGCCTGCCCATCACCATTATTATTCCAGGTAAATGACAGCAGTGTCTGGACCAAACAATCCAGTGACTGACATCGTGAGCATCGATCCACTCAATTGGGATACGATGACATGCATCAACCAAGTCAGTGAGCCTTACCACCCGATCCCGTTAGTCACCTCTTACGACAAGCATAGTCGCCCAACCAAATACCCACATTAGAAAACATAAAACAGATCCCATGAATAGAATATGTGTAAAAAAAAATAAATTCCCTAGACCTGCGCAGAGGCCAATAATTGGCCCAAAGTCTGCAGCAAATATCATCAAAAATTCCCAAATTGGAATAAGAAATTTCCCAATTCATGTAACATAACTAAAAACTAATAATTTTTAACCTTTTAATGCTTAGTTTTATATCATTGCAATGAATTCAAACTCAAAAACAAATTTCAATATCACTCTGAATTTAAAAACTGCAAGAAATCCAAATTTTGAACAAACAATTATTTTTTCCAAAGTCTGCCAAGCGCACTTCCTTTAGAATCCTAGATAAATCCCTGAAGAAATGAAACAGTCCCCATCAATAGTCTAAAACAAAAAAGCTTGAGTTTGAGGAAATAGTATATGAAATGAAAAAAAGAGCTGCAAAGCGATCATTAGTTAAATTTGCTCAAAGTGGTTTGATTGGATTGTTATGTTAAAATATGACTACTGACAAGTTCTGAGTATCACAACTTCCTAAGGAAATATGTAGATGGTAACATCAGCAGTCTCACTCACCTCAGGCCAGATGTGTGCCACCTCAGCCAGGACAATGGCCTCCACGTCCTGGTTCCCGTACCAATACTGTCGACTCCGGTAGATGATCCCACAGTTAGGGCACTCCAATACATAACTACACAACAAGCAAAAGTACATATAGCATGCGCTTCCAAACAAACAATGGCTTCCAAGATTCGTAAATGGCTTAGTACTCATAGTTCCTTTTGTATCAACAAGGAGGCAATGAGATGAACTGTAAACATGATTTATTTATGCCGATATTCATTATTTGTATTTGCCGTATTTGTCATTAGAAATTAATAAATGGGAATAAAAAACAGTGCCATGACACTGTAGCTCACCTGGATATATAGTCAATAGTATACAAAAAACATTGCTGTCAGCATTGATAGTTAAATATTTTCCACATAAATACTGAATACTATACTACTAACACTAAAGTCAAATGAATAAAATATGTCATCATAAGAAATGTGTATGCCAAAGATCAGCTTCTTCAGTCTGATAATTTCAGAGAATTGTACAAGAATATATGCATTTTGAGACAGTTGAAAAACATGGTAAATACAAGGTCTAAAAAATGTTTAAAATGCAAAGACACTGAACTTATGACTGGAATTCCCTGCAAAATGAATACCAAATTTCATAACATTTTGAACAAAAAAAACTCAGTAATGGCTACAAATAGGTTTTTTTTTAATACAGCTGCTATGGTAAATATTTTTAAAGCGTGTACTTCTTACTAACATCCGACGAGTGGGAGTTATTTGTTGTAGAATAGAACACTGCAGGGAGAATCAAGCATGAGGGGTGCATTAACTATCAGTAGGAGCTTACCCTGACCAGATGTATCTCCCCAAACCAACCCACGTGTTGTCTCCTGAGGATGAGGTTTTGGGCACAACCACCTTCCGTTGTCCTTTAGCATGCATACATTTCTGTAAACATGGTAAATAGATGATTATATTTATTTCAAAACTTGGCACAAATGCAAGTATGGCAAGTATGAAGAAACTCAGCTTAAATCATATAAAATGGGTATGGTCTACCAGGATACATCTTCCGGGCAAGGGAGTTAACTGACTGTAAAAGTGCAGTTTCCACCCTTGCAAAAATAGGCTGAAATGTCCTTGCGTGATCGTAGCGCCACCTGCTATTACCGGTTGTGTCCCTTCTATGATCCCCCTACTGACCATTCAGATTCCATTTACGATGCATCATATCACTTGAGAGCCTTCATGAAAAACATGAAAAGATTTGGAATATATGTGTCGACAAAAAACTGACAGTACACATGCTCTGCAAATCCTGCAATCAAACAAATTTGGCACGGCAGTTGACATATTGTTACAGGATTTTGATTGGGCTATGCATAGTGCAGCCAAAATATAACTCCATAACTCCAGCCATTTCGGCAAGGGTGAAAACTGGACTTTTAAAGTCAGTTAACTCCCTTGCCTGAGGAAGATGACCTGGATAGTATACAGATGTAGCAAATATAGCTGTTATTTTCATTCAGAGACTTTCTACTGATTTTCTAAAGACAACTTTCCAACAATCTCATTAAAATCAGATCTTAGTTCTCGCTATCGCTAAAGAAAGATCTGAGGACATACCATTACGGGTCACGTCAGAGAGCTCAAGCAAAGATAGTGTGTGACAGCAATATTCCAGCTATATCACTGCAGCCTATAAACAAATAAATGTTGGCCAGGCACTCCATTGAAGAAGAGTCACAATCAATGCCTGTCCCTAATCTTATGAGAGGACAGAGGGGACCTATTTACAATGACAGCTCACACATCATAGCCACCCAATCCACATTAGTTGGCTTTAACACAAGCATGAGATACTGAGATACTGGGGACACTGCCTACCAGGGCACGATGACAGCTCACACATCATAACCTCCCAATCCACATCAGCTGGCTTTACCACAAGCATGAGATACTGAGATACTGGGGACACTGCCTACCAGGGCACGATAACAGCTCACACATCATAACCACCCAATCCACATTAGTTGGCTTTAACACAAGCATGAGATACTGAGATACTGGGGACACTGCCTACCAGGGCACGATGACAGCTCACACATTGCAACCTCCCAATCCACATTAGTTGGCTTTAACACAAGCATGAGACACTGAGATACTGGGGACACTGCCTACCAGGGCACGATGACAGCTCACACATTGCAACCTCCCAATCCACATTAGCTGGCTTTAACACAAGCATGAGATACTGAGATACTGGGGAAACTGCCTACCAGGGCACGATGACAGCTCACACATTGCAACCTCCCAATCCACATTAGCTGGCTTTAACACAAGCGTGAGATACTGAGATACTGGGGACACTGCCTACCAGGGCACGATGACAGCTCACACATCATAGCCACCCAATCCACATATGTTGGCTTTACCACAAGCATGAGATACTGAGATACTGGGGACACTGCCTACCAGTGCACGATGACAGCTCACACATTGCAACCTCCCAATCCACATTAGCTGGCTTTAACACAAGCGTGAGATACTGAGATACTGGGGACACTGCCTACCAGGGCACGATGACAGCTCACACATCATAGCCACCCAATCCACATATGTTGGCTTTACCACAAGCATGAGATACTGAGATACTGGGGACACTGCCTACCAGGGCACGATAACAGCTCACACATCATAACCACCCAATCCACATTAGTTGGCTTTAACACAAGCATGAGATACTGAGATACTGGGGACACTGCCTACCGGGGCACGATGACAGCTCACACATTGCAACCTCCCAATCCACATTAGTTGGCTTTAACACAAGCATGAGACACTGAGATACTGGGGACACTGCCTACCAGGGCACGATGACAGCTCACACATTGCAACCTCCCAATCCACATTAGCTGGCTTTAACACAAGCATGAGATACTGAGATACTGGGGACACTGCCTACCAGGGCACGATGACAGCTCACACATTGCAACCTCCCAATCCACATTAGCTGGCTTTAACACAAGCATGAGATACTGAGATACTGCCTACCAGGGCACAATGACAGCTCACACATCATAACCTCCCAATCCACATAAGCTGGCTTTAACACAAGCATGAGATACTGAGATACTGGGGACACTGCCTACCAGGGCACGATGACAGCTCACACATTGCAACCTCCCAATCCACATTAGCTGGCTTTAACACAAGCATGAGATACTGAAATACTGGGGACACTGCCTACCAGGGCACGATGACAGCTCACACATTGCAACCTCCCAATCCACATTAGCTGGCTTTAACACAAGCATGAGATACTGAGATACTGGGGACACTACCTACCAGGGCACGATGACAGCTCACACATCATAACCACCCAATCCACATTAGCTGGCTTTAACACAAGCATGAGATACTGAGATACTGGGGACACTGCCTACCAGGGCACGATGACAGCTCACACATTGCAACCTCCCAATCCACATTAGCTGGCTTTAACACAAGCATGAGATACTGAGATACTGCCTACCAGGGCACGATGACAGCTCACACATCATAACCACCCAATCCACATTAGCTGGCTTTAACACAAGCATGAGATACTGAGATACTGGGGAAACTGCCTACCAGGGCACGATGACAGCTCACACATCATAACCACCCAATCCACATTAGCTGGCTTTAACACAAGCATGAGATACTGAGATACTGGGGACACTGCCTACCAGTGCACGATGACAGCTCACACATTGCAACCTCCCAATCCACATTAGCTGGTGTTAAGACAAGCATCAGCTACTGGGACTTGCCCCCAAATCCCCACCTCGTAATCCGCCGCCGTGGTCTAGCAGTAGAGCGTCCGCCCCCAGAGCGGAAGGTCCGGGGTTCGATCCCCAGCCGTGTCATACCAAAAGCACTCAGCATTAAGGGGCTAAAACAAGGATAATGTGTCTGGGTGGGGATTCATGTTCAACTGAGGAATGGTATCTCAGTGGGCTAGGACTATAAATCGGCATCAGTCCGGTCTAGTACAAGCAGCCACACACACATGTGCATGCACGTCGCTATATAAGTGTAACAATCTTGAACATGACATTAAACCCCATTCTACCTCTCACCTCACCTACCAGAGTTCAGACAAGTATGACATAGCCTGCTCACCTTGCACAGGTAGATCTTGTTGCCATACTGATGCTGATACTGACAGTGTTTGTTCTCCTCTGTCTGATGCTGGAACTCATCCACATCATGGTTCATGCTCCGCATACAGCGAGACCTGGAACAGGCAGTATTACTAGCTCAGGTTGGTTGGTTTGTTGTTTAACGCCGCACTCAGCAATATTCCAGCTATATGACGGCGGTCTGTAAATAATCGAGTTTGGACCAGACAATCCAGTGATTAATATCATGAGCATCGATCCACGCAATTGGGATCGATGACATGCATCAACCAAGTCTGTGAGCCTGACCACCCGATCCCGTTAGTCGCCTTTTACGACAAGCAGAGTCACCTTTTATGGCAAGCATGGGTAGCTGAAGACCTATTCTACCCCGGAATCTTCAAGGGTCTCCACAACTTATGAAGCTGACACATCAAGGATCCTACGACCTGCTACTCTCCTAATGAGTGAGTGAGTGAGTTTGGTTTTACGCCGCTTTTAGCAATATTCCAGCAATATCACTGCGGGGGACACCAGAAATGGGCTTCACACATTGTACCCATGTCGGGATTCGAGCCCAGGTCTTCGGCGTGATGAGCGAAGGCTTTAACCACTAGGCTACCCGACCGCCCCGCTTCTCTCCTAAAGGGCATCAAGCAGGGTTGGCTTTATGTTCAACTACAAATGAGGGACCTTTGGATACTGATACCACGACTGAGTCCATGAATGCTGGAAACATTAGGGCCTTGTCATATATTATGAGTGTGACAGTGGAATTGGTCTTAGGTCTGTATATTTTGCTGAAGCATGACGACATGTAACACTTTTTATATGCCCCTCCACACCCTATAATACATTACCAGGCCCTAATCATGCTAATAAATTATAAACATTTTTGATTGTCATTTTTTCATGACTAACACCTCCCCCCTCCCCATATCACATGTGAGGTGTCACATATTGGAACAAGTGAGTGAGTGAGTGAGTGAGTGAGTGAGTGAGTGAGTGAGTGAGTGAGTGAGTGAGTGAGTGAGTGAGTGAGTGAGTGAGTATAGTTTTATGCCGCTTTTAGCAATATTCCAGCAATATCACAGTGGGGTACACCAGAGAAGGGCTTCACACATTGTACCCATGTCAGGAATCGAACCCGGGTCGTCGGCATGACGAGCTAACGCTTTAACCACTAGGCTACCCGACCGCCCCTATATTGGTACAAAAGGACACATGTATCATATTAATAATATCTTGTTTCTTGGGTATGAAAATGAATAGTAAGATCTCTGAAGGATCTCAAACCTGCCCAAGTTTACAGAATACAAGTTGAAATAGCTCAGAAGCCTTCCTTGAAAATGATGCAACACAGCATCCATGACAAAAGGAGATTCGTCATATAGATATTATACACATTATAAGATAATAAACTCAAAACTGGCTACAATATCATTATTCGAATTTAGATGCATGGGTCGACATGCATGATATTTATCATGAGTATATCTGTGCTTCGGCTTGTAACATCTTGGACACACATTGTACATACTCACCCACAGGCCTTGCACTTAGCAGTGCAGGTAAAATACTGGTCCGGGAATGTATTGGGCACTGGCTTATCAATGTCGCCACTGAATTTCTCATTAAGACACTGAAAAGGAAATATTATTAACATGAGTGAGTGAGTATGGTTTTACGCCGCTTTTAGCAATATTCCAGCAATATCACGGCGGAGGACACCGGAAATCGGCTTCACACATTGTACCCATGTCGGGAATCGAACCCGGGTCTTCAGCATGACGAGCGAACGCTTTAACCACTAGGCTACCCGACCGCCCCTATTAACATGATGAATAAACATAATTCCAGGACACCACTAACAGAAAGTATACGAGTTAAAGCTGTGCTAATTCAGATGATAGGCTGAAAGAAAGATTTCTGAATGTCAAATGAAGTTACAAAATTACAAAACCTAAACATGTGAAAGCACTTTGAGATAAGATATTTTCCTAAAGTACTTTAATCTAACCATGCTCAGAAAAACAAAAAATGATTTCTTTGTCAAGAAAAGTCATTTAATTGTGAGTTAGCTATGGATAGATCCTTTTCCATCACTGTGTATTGAGGCATCACTTCATTGTATTTCATTTGAAACGTTACCATGGTTACTGGTATGTTTGATTTTTATCATGTTTTATTACATCTGTTTTCTGTTTCCTGTTTCCTGTTTCCTATCCTTATCTTATTTCCCAATCATAATTTAGTCTCACGTGGGTAAAATCCGAATAAATAAAAGAGTGAGTGAGTGAGTAAGTGAGTGAGTACGGTTTTACGCCGCTTTTAGCAATATTCCAGCAATATCACGGCGGGGGAGACCAGAAATTGGCTAATAAATAAAAGAAAGTGTGGCCTCAGCAACAAACATCCAGGGCCCCGTTCCACAAAGCGATCTTAGCGCTAAGTCGATCGTAACTCCCATTCTTTAACACTGACTTACGACAATCATAGCGCTAAGAACGCTTTGTGAAACGGGGCCCAGCACACAAGATGACTCCCACCTTAAGACTTTGGAAGACCACAGCAGGCCTCCTAGCTGTCCTCACAGTATTGTTGGCTAGCAGGTCCTTTACTGCTTTCTGTAGAGGTTTGAAGTCTGTTGGAGGATTCATAGTCCTTGTGCCCACATAGTGCAGGCTGCTGAAAGCATCTATTGTGCACTCGGACTTCTTGAACTTTCCTCGTATCAAGTCTTCTGGTGTTATTCCTGTCATAAACAGCAATACTGACTTACCATGTTTATCATGAAAATATAAATATATTAAAATATTTTATCATTCATGATAATCATCATGATAAAAAGTTTATGAATAATATTTTGAGTGTGTGTATGCATGCATGTGCAAAATGGACAACATTTAAAAACTCTTCAATCATCATGTCTGTCATAACAGGAATGTCCATGGTCAAGGAAACACAGAAGTGTGACAGTACAGTTGTCCTAGCCCAGGATATATCAGCCATTAGCTCTTGAAAATAGACCAATGGTAGATTACAATAGGATAACACAGCGATAGAAACTAACATTTTTAGTTCACTAGTCCTTATAATCATGATAATGATATCACCCTAAAAAATGGCAAATTTCTACTAGTCCTTATGATACCCTAACTATTGGGCAGTTTGGCAAGGACTATAGAACAAGTGCTAATTTCCAATGCTGTAATAATTGTTATGTTCCATATGGTGCATATTTGTAAGTGGATGTGTGTGATTTTTACAGTTTCCCATCAAGACATGCATCTGTGTAAATGGCTGACAGCAGCAGCAGCAGCTACTGCTACTATCTCACCTTCCTTCCCTCCTCTAAGCTGCAGGACGTCGGTGTGTAAAGTCTCATGGAATATTATCACAGCTGGCCCAATGTTGGAGACGGACAGGTTGTAACGTTGTGTTGCTGCCCGCAGTTCAGCTGAAAAGTGCTTCAAGTAAGCCTTTGATGCATCACTAAGGAAGTTCAACATATCTACATGCAGCCTCTCAGCCCGAGTGCGATATATCACAATGTCCGAGATGGCAAGAATCTTCAAGAGCAGTCTGGTCCTCTGATTCTGGTTGCTGGTCACCCCCAGCAAGCCCTCGGTGTCAATCACAAGCGTGTTGTTGACGGGGTCGTGAGCTGCCCACACACCCACAGTACATGACTCTTGTTCCGGTGATGTCTGGAAAACCTCCTTACCACCAAAAAAGGTATGATTGAGAGTATAGGATTTCCCATCCCCTGTGTTACCAAAGATGGAAATAATCTTCACCATTGCATCTTTGTTGCAGCTCAGCTTCTCCATAAATTCTTCTTCGGAAGTCACCTGCGAATAAAGGATGAGAAAAATTGTTCACCATGTTTACATTTTTCATATGTTTTTATATCAATTTCTTGTACTGATCTAACTTATATTGTTTGTTTGTTTGTTATATAACGCAACATTCAGCAGTATCACAGCATTATGATGGCGGTCTGTAAAAAATCGAGTCTGGACCAGACAATCCAGTGATTGATGTCATGAGAATCGAACACAAAATTGGGATACAACTACATGCAACAACCATGTCAGCAAGCCTGTCCACCTGATCCTGTCAGTCACCTCTAACAACAAGCATAGTCGCCTTTTAAGACAAGCAAGGGTTGCTGAAGACCTATTCTTACCTGGATCTTCACTGGGCATAACTGATATGGAATAACATACTTTGCCACTAGCATTACACAGTTTTAGTTTTGACAGTTTTTTGCTTAGCTTGTAACTATGTAAGGGTGCACGGTATTACCAGTAAATTGAGGTGCATGCTCCTTGACCTATGATACAAAATATGTTGTTACGTGTAGGATAAAATCAAAGGCTTTTTATGAGATTTAAAACCCTCGTCCTCGGGATAAAATCTTGGAAACAGGTCTCAAATCTCTTAAACCCTTCTGACTTGTTTTATTCTACACATAACAACACAATTTGTGTCATAGGTCAGGTAGCATTATCTTTCAACGATAAGTATCACAATATCATTTTTTTAATGCTTGGTATATCAGGTGATTTCAAAAAGCAATTATTTTCATGTGTATAATTTAGCAGGGCCTGGAGTCATCCCACAGATGACATCCTTACCTTGTCAGCTTGCTGACGGGGTTAACCTCTTTGGTCATGTGGACAAGACGTCCGACTTCTGATCAGAAGGTCCGTGGTTCGAATCCCATCATGGGACTCGGAAATTTAATGGCCGCTATTGTCCACGCCTTGTCCACATGACCAAAGAGGTTAACCCCGTCAGCAAGCTGACAAGGTAAGGATGTCATCTGTCCACGCCCTGCTACAATAATGTTGTACACTTGCATATAAAGTGCGATGCAGATTTGGATTGGGGATCTATTAGGAAATCACTATGACAGTATGAAACAGCCTGTAGCTCTGAGTAGCGAATTGTCAATACTAAAATCATACACAGGGAGCAGCACATGGGGGATGGTTACCGCTGCTAATAGGTCTACATCAGTACACATGGTACATGTGCCATTTGACATAACGTTTACCTGCACTCAATACTTTGAACATGTAGGAGTACTGTACTTTCAGTTATGCAGACTACGAGCATGATGAGTAAATGAGCGTTTTACAACAGAAGTGATTCACCGGAGATTCGTACCCACTGAAAATGGCTATCCTACCTAAAATTCCTGTCCAATTCATACTTAATTTAGAGAATTCATATGTTATTTGGATGACCCGTACACGAAGCTAGATGATGCCTACACAAATTTCGCTGACCCAAATTTAATAAACCCCATACAATCATTTATACATTTCAAACATTCATTTCATATTTCACTGACTATGGTGATTAGGATAATAACCTTTACCTGTCATTGCTTCAAATAAGAATAGAAAAGAACAGTGTTTAATATCATTTAAATATTGTACCATGTACACTTGCATATAAAATGTGATGCAGATTTGGATCGGGGATCTATTAAGCAAACACTATGACAGTATGAAACAGCCTGTAGCTCTGAGTAGCGAAAAGTCAATACTAAAATCATACATAGGAAGCAGCACATGGGGATGGTTACCGCTGCTAATCGGTCAACATCAGTACATGTGCCATTTGACAAAACGTTTACCTGCACTCAATACTTTGAACATGTGGGAGGGGTGCAGGCTAAAACGGTACCTCAGCAAAACGTCACCGATTTCTCTGGCGTAAATGTCACCGCATTTGGCGAAAACGGCTACTATGTGTCGGGCGAAAACGGAACCTCTATTTTGAATAACGATAAAACGATTTTTGTAGTAATATATATGGTTTATTTACATGGTATTTGATGTATAGAGTACATCTGAAGCCGTAATGTGAATTTCCGATAGGTTTGGTACTCTCATTTCTTCAGCATCTTCTGACATCAAAGTTACCGATCACCTCTTCAATGACGGGAGCTACGCATTTCACACAGCGGAAAGGGAAGTCAGTACGGCAAATTTCTCTATAACGGGGGCCACAGAAAGTCCGGTTCCACATACACGATGGGTCCACTGGTCACAGTTATCACATGATACAGCATGTTGTTGTCTTCTGACATTCTTCTCGCATGCAACACATGGAAAGGCTATTGTGAATAATTGTGATCTGACAGCACCATGTTAGGCCTCTCAAATACAGTTTCAGCTTAAATTGAGTAAAGGTACTTAAAACTTCAAAGCGTATAGTGAATAAAAGTCGGTGAGTAAATTGGAGTAGGGGGCTAATTTCTTATTTGTTTTATTTCACAATTATTTGTGTTTGTAAGAGACGACATGAGTTTAATTTCTATTATCTTTCGTCAAAGCATGTTATGTTTTCACAATAGGTTGAGTTGCGTATAAGCTAAGTTTGATTAAAGTTGGAGTAGAGGCTAATTTCTAATGTAAACTTGTTTTAACATCTCACAATTATTGGCCTTTGCAAGTTACAATGTAAGTTTAATATCATTTATTTGACCAAGGTAAAAAAAACAATAAGGTGCCATTTTCACTCAAGTCGAGGTGCCGTTTTCGCCAATCGGTGACGTTTTTGCCCTGTGATGTTTTGCTGAGGTGCCGTTTTCGCTATAACCCTGTGGGAGTACTGTACTTTCAGTTATGCAGACTATGAGCATGATGAGTAAATGAGCGTTTTACAACAGAAGTGATTCACCGGAGATTCGTACCCACTGAAAATGGCTATCCTACCTAAAATTCCTGTCCAATTCATACTTGATTTCGATAATTCATATGTTATTTGGATGACCTGTACACAAAGCTAGATGATGCCTACACAAATTTCGCTGACCCAAATTTAATAAACCCCATACAATCATTTATACATTTCAAACATTCATTTCATATTTCACTGACTATGGTGATTGGGATAATAACCTTTACCTGTCATTGCTTCAAATAAGAATAGAAAAGAACAGTTTTCAAAGTCATTTAAATATTGTACCAATACGCCTTTTTTTTTTGGTACAAGTCATCCAGTTCATTAGGCATAGCTAGGCACAAGTTATCCAACATTTGTGTACGAGTCTGTCACAATATACAAGGTAGGGATTGTCCAGTTCTCCATTAAACATAAGCAAACACAGGCACGATACCAATCATGCACATGCGGATACTTTTGGTGATACACTGAATAACAAAACTACTGGAATACGAAATGACACAAAACCGCATAACATATCATTTTGTATCCTTACATCATTGTACATGAACATAGTCATGATAGACACGATAGTCATACAGAACCTTGATGTGTCATGATACATCAATGTATGGGTGAATCGTCCCACATCTTACTTGTCTAAGAGAAAGAAAACTTGTAAGAATTGAACATGATGAAATAAATAGCAAAAAGGTATCAAGCAATCACCTGCAGTTCTTCCTGGTCATTTGCCAATTCAAAACTTTGACATTCGGTATATCTGCCATCATCCATAAGAAAAGCATCCATTTCTCTTGCCATTAGATTCACTTCATTTGTGTCTTGGCAGATATCTGGAATGCTCCCACCTGAACTAGGGTGGCTGTGGTCAGAATGAAAACTAGCAAAGGACATGTTTTCTTCCAAGCTAATATCTTGTGGACATGAAACGTAAGTCAAAGAATCGTCATTATCTGACACTGGTGATAGTGGCTTCACCGTGTCTTGTAACGCGCGTAGCTGTCTCCGATGGTACTCATTCACTGATATCTTCTTGTGAGTCTTCCTTCTTCCTTGGGCATGCGATTTGTCAAAACAATCAAGACAAAGCCTGTGTTTACAGTCCTCGCACCAGACGTCAGCGTAATTCCTGTTGACACATGCCGTCCCTGATGCCGTACCCTGACAGAGTTTATCCGGGGAAGGTCGTTCAAGACGTCGCCTGTTGTGAAATTCGAACTTTATTCCTGAATGAACGCTCTTTTCACACTTATCGCACTGAGCAGTTTTGCACTCTGAACATGTAAACACTGCCTCCGCGTTTACCACAACACAGCTCAGTTTTTCCTCACAAAGGCGAATGGAGGATTTTGTTCTGCTGGTTCGCTTGGCCGTGGGACGCATTGTTCAAATAAAGTAAACTGGTACAATCGTCAACTGTTTTGATAAAGATCATTGTCATAAACTTCGGTCATAATAAACTATGACCAAGGGAATCTCCCATTTCGACCATTTCCGTATGGTTGAATGTGAAACATGCAGTATAAAAGTTTAACGAAAACGGAATGTGTGTAATTCCTTTCTGCTGAAGTTCAGGCATGTGACATCACGTTGAATCAAAAGCACAAAACACAACTGAAACTCATTCCTCTGTTTTATATGAAGAAAACAAACCATTCAGCACAAGCACAATATCGGAATCTCGGATCTCTCATTCCCGTTATAGGTTAACCCGCAGAACGCCATGGAGTCACATGTATAGGATGGATAAGATTGAGATGGTCAAGTATTGGAATTGTTTTAAGTTCTAATTATTGATAATATAGGTGATTAATGTTGCTACTGTTTATACTATTACTAAAGGTAGAGTGAAATAACGAATTCAATGAAAATGATACAACGATATTGTGTTTAATACCACAAGAGGTCAGAAATTAAACTCAAATAATTGCATATACATTTCATCTAAAAAATGTGTTCATGTATCCATCGATCCTGAGTATAATAAAAAAATATATAAACTCTAAAATGAAATATGAAAGCTTGGACATCGAGTTCATGTCAGCATCGCAAAAACTTGATTAAACATATCTAGCAAAACAAAACATAAGTTGAATAAACATTTAATAGTGCCCGATGTTTTGTTACACAAAACCTATACTCAAAACCATATGTGAAATACATTACCCTTGTTGGCTACGTATTATTAAGTTTTCACCAAAATAAATGTGCATACAAAAAATGCTAGACCTACGGTACCGAATTTGTGAACATGGCCCGCATCGCGAATTAAATTCAGTTTATTTTATAACACGGTCCTATTAATAAATCCTGTCGTGAGAAAATGTAGGTCTTTATTTGTTTTTAATTATTTGAAGATATACGACTACTGTACACCTGACATAATTTTGATGATGACTCAATACAACAATATACTATTTATTTGACATTATCAACATAGTAATAATTCTTCTACGTCTGATAATATCTATAAAATTTAAAAATGTCGAAACTATATTTCACAGCGAATATATGAACAGCGAAACGTTTATATCTATAAGTGAAAAAAGGATTAAAGTCAATCTTATCAAAATCAGTGTTTTGGCCTTTCTTACGCAGAGAGGTATCGTATCGGAATAAAATAATTTATTTTAATGGGATTAGGATTAAATATGAATTTCAACCCTTTTGTTTTTTCTTTCAACGCGATGTCTCAATGCAGATGCTTGTATAGTCTGTCATACAGACCCTGAAACAAATATTTCAAATACAGCCCTTACAAGTCTATAATATTTGGCAAGTCTAGGTTACTGCACTATCAGTATCTGATAATGATGTAATTCTCTGGTCTCCTTCTTATTATATTTTATAATTATAATTTAACAACTCTTTTCTGTAAACTATGTTAATCTCAGAGACTATGTGTTGGTCTAATGCTTGTACATGTATAAAGCTTAACAAAAATAGTATAATTCCCACCGAAAATGTCGTATTTCAAGAAAGAACAAACTTCTTTCAGTTCATGTCAAGCCTGTTTTCATTGATATAATATAAACTAAAAGCTATATGCCGATGAGTTTACAAAAATAAGCCACTCCAATGTATATTTTTCTTGCACGAGCATCCCCGTGGCGAAAATTTGCCAATAAGTCGGATTTAGTCCGTCATGAAAATAAAGCTATTGTTATCAATATTGTAACAGCATAAATATTTAAATAATATGTTCATGATGCTAATCTAAATAATGGGACCCTCCTCAGCCCACCACGATCCGCAAGCAAACGTTTCATATGAACGTGAAATAAACACACGCCGCCACTTCATTTGAAATGACAAAAAATGGTTGATGGAATATTGAAATTATTGTTTTAGTGAAATCTAAATCCGTTTCATGTGGTTCACTTTTTCGATCATTCTCAAAGTTTTCACTTGTTATCTCCCTTGACAGGGAATTCTGGGAAGCTACTTATGCATAGACTCGGCACCATTACTCTGTGCTGGAGCCAACTTTCAACTAAATATGTCGAAAAGAAAGACACGAGCTTTACTCATCGACTCAGATAGCGATGATAGTGATAGTGGAGAAGATGTAGATGAAGTTAGTGTCTTTCCTCATCTTCTTGATTTTGATTCCACAACCTCGTATTGTTCCAAGATATGTGTCGGGAATCAAATCTGAAAAGCAGCAATTGAAAAATTAAGTGCAATATTCGAATCTTTAACCACAGAGGACAGGATATGACGCGAAATCACCAATGTCGGATAAACAGTTTCCATCTGAGGAAACAAAAGAACTAACGCAACTAAAAAAAAGCTAACCCATACCCCAGTATTTCAAACACGTCTTCATATCTTGGACATAGATTATGAAAATATTTTCCTCTTTACACTATCTTGATTGTTGGATGAACCAAATGTCCCCATTTGATTTAAATAGAAAATATTTTTAACTTTACATTACGACCTACATTACAATTAGAGGTTTTAAGATTGGAATTAATATCTTGAATAACACTAATATATTCAATTTGTAATTGTCTTGTTCTACAAAGAGGTGCACATAACACAAAATGTATTACATTTCAGATCTAGACCCATGTAGCCATTGAAAGTCATAACATGTCACATTTGTGAGAAGTAGAAACAGTTGCAGCACAAAATGTGTAAAAGATGGTTTGCAAACAATTGCTGACATGATCAAACTTTAAATTGTGGATTGAAATTACCATCAGAAATTGATTATATGAATTCATGTTTGGGTTTTTTGATAGGTGATGAATGCTGCAGACACCAAAGATGAAAGACTTACTTTATGTCTTAATGATTTCATTTCTAAATTGATCCATCATTGATTGATTGATGTCATTCTGAAAGTTTATGTAGAATTTTGGAAAGATTTCCTCCCATATCCCCCAGATATTACCCCCTCCGCAAGTAAATGTATGCTGTGTGCATATACATGCATTGCTGCTCAATCATTTTAATTATATATATTTTTGAGGGGGGGATGTATTCAGAAGATTACAAGAAGCTTTTGCAAAGTACAAATCTGAAAAGTTGTGCAAAACCATATTCGCAAGTGAATTGATTATGTGTTATGTTAAAAGTGTATTGAAAATAACTTTCTATATTTTTATCAACTTATACAGTGTTGATAAACTAAGCACAGTAGTGGCATGTGCAGTTTACATTTGAAAGTATTTAAAAAAAAATAAGAAGTAAGGGAGAAATTCCATTGTCCCAGATGTGAGATGTGAACTTAAAACAAATTGATAATAGATAATTGTGTTCTGAGTAAGCTAGCATTTTATTGTAATCTACGCTAAGGGCTTATCTAGGCCTGCTCAGAGGACGGTATTCAGCCCCAAGTCTACAGCAAATGTCAGAAAAATATCCCCAAATTGGAATTAAGAAATTTCCAATTCATGTTATGAGGTTAAACTAATGTAGAGGACATGTATTTCGCTGATAGCAGGACAAATGAGGAGATAGAGGTTGAAATGCTTAGTTTATATTATTGTGTTGAATTCAATGTTTAAATATCTCTGAATTAAGAAAATCCCACTTTTTGAACATTATGTTTAATTTGTCTCAATTTGCCTGGCAAAGGCATTTAGTTTGGAATTCTAGATAAACTCAGGGTTGCTACACTCTATTTTCTCACAAGTTATAATTGAGAGGTATTACACACTATTTGGCTCCTTGCTAGAAAATTATACATACATAGAATTCGAATCGAAAAGTGACTGTTTCTCATGCTGGTCCCTACAATGAAGTCCAAGGGTCTGTAACAGAGAGTTTCAGTATAATTACTGATTTTAAACTGCACATTGTTAGGCATATGACTTGATATGATGAAATGAAAACATTTCAAATCAAAGTTATTAATTTCATCAATTTCTTATAGGCTGAATTTCTATCTCATGCATGACTCTCAGACTGTTCTGATGATAATGATAAGCTTGTTATAATTTCTTAGACTATGTTAATTCTTGTTGACTTGTTTTTTTCCTGTTTTGTAATTGTAATTAGTTTGAGATATTCACACCAGCCCATGACAAGAGATATTTTCAAAACATAAGTGACCTGTTGAAGGCCGCTAGCCCATTTTTCTATTTTGGCGTCATGAAAAACTAGATTTTACCTTCTCTGCCTGTGTAAGGGCTTGTAAGCAGATTTATGCTGTTTGTTGAGCTCCTACTTCCAGTTACTCCACTTTATTAAAAACACATGAAATAAGGCTTATTCAATCTCCATCAGAGCTAGGAACTGTTTTATGTTACTCAACCTGGATAATGATCTTGCACATTAGTATCTAAACTTAGCCATGGTAGTGTGACAGTAGTGTTTTCCTAGTTCTGTGTCTCTGGAGACATCTAGGGAAATGGATGAATGACAGAGGCCAGTATTCCACTCACTCCAAGTGTGCAGCAAATGTTAATTAAATATTTCCCAGTTCATGGTATAGTTATAAGTAAAGTTAGGGCTATAATTAAATATTTCCCAGTTCATGGTATAGTTATAAGTAAAGTTAGGGCTTTAATTAAATATTTCCCAATTCATGGTATAGTTATAAGTAAAGTTAGGGCTATAATTAAATATTTCCCAGTTCATGGTATAGTTATAAGTAAAGTTAGGGCTTTCATTAAATATTTCCCAGTTCATGGTATAGTTATAAGTAAAGTTAGGGCTTTGAAGAGGTAACTTGTCTTTACTGATAGCAGAACCAATAAAGAAGAAGAGGGTTTAATGCCTAGTGTGACGTTATTGCTTTGAATGCAATATTGAATCACAATGTTAATATCACTTTGAAATTAAGAAGAAAAAAAGTTCAAGAATTTTGAACAAAATAAAAAAATTTTCTTAAGTCTGCCAAGTGTGCTTAGTTTGTATTCCTGGACACATCCCTGGAATGGAGGGTGCAGATAGGATGATATTGTAGTGAAGTTTGCCCATCATGATCAGGGCAGCCCATTCTTGTGTAACTTTTATGCATGGCACTGTTCATCATT